ACACACACTCACCAGGAGCGCCAGGTTTGCTGCCCGCCGCGAACACGAACAGCAGCGCAGTCGCCGCCACACGGGCCTGAGCAGCAGGGGTGAAGCTGGGCGCCGTCCAGACGGGCAGCAGAGACGCGTTATACTGAGACCAGTTACCAGACATCACGAACACCTGCGGGAACACACACCACCACTGCATCACTGTCAGGTCACACACACTGTGATTGACATTCTCCCTTTGTACGTGTCATCAGAGGGGGAAAGCCCCGCCCACTAGTGCCCATCATCTCATCTCATTAGCATAAACAGCCCTGAGTAAAAAGCAGCCATCTGTCCATTAGCCATTACACACACACACACACACACACACACACACACACACACACACACACACACACACATACACACACACACACTGTCGGACTAGAGCTGATAACAGTGTGAGATTTACAGAAAGACTGTGTGTGTGTGTGTGTCTTTGTGTCTCTGAAGCAGAGGTAAACAACACAGAGAAAAGAGGATTGACAGAAGCTTCTGCTCAGAAACACACACACACACACACACACACACACACACACACACATTGGAACAATAGTCAATGTGATAGGTGCTATACAGATAAACTTGAACTGACATACACAGATAAACATGCACACATACACACACAGATAAACACACTCACACACATACACACTCACACACACACTCAAACACACACAAAGACAACAGGCCTTCAGAGACACAAGTTGACAGACACACACACACATCTAAGACTTACATACACACTTGACAGGCCTTTAGAGACACCGGTAAACACACACAAACACACACACACACACACGAGTTACATACACACTCGTCAGGCCTTCAGAGACACCGGTGCCCACACACACACACACACACACACACACACACACACACACACACACACACACACACACACACACACACACACTGTAGTGATGTTTGTACTGTACAGCCTGTATATTCTGTCGTCTCCCCCTAAACTTGACTCTCACAGTAAACAGTCTGCACTTTCACATGTCCACAATCCTTCACTCTGTCTGATTTATAAGCACTTTTCCTCATAGGGACCAAAAAATGTCCCCACAAGGTTAAACATGGCTGCTATTGCCATCATTGTGAAGACATTTGGTCCTCTCAATGTCAAAAATACAAGGCAAACCCATCTCAGAGTCCTGAATCTGCTGAGTGTGTGTGTTTGTGAGTGTGTGTGTGTGTGTGTGTGTGTGTGTTATTGTTTCTTCTGCATATACATTATTATATTTATATTCTATATTGATGATCATAAAGCAGAATATTGAGCTCCTAATATGACTTTATGTCGCTTTATTCACAGATTCTGCCTCTGCCTGTGTTTGCAGATGTTTGTAGTTGACAGTATTTGATGAGATTAGCAGAGGACAGAGCCTGAAGGACAGAGAGATCCAGTTTCACCACTGACAATGACCCACACTCAACTTTACACTGGTAAAAATATCTGTCATTTAACTGTGAGTGTGTGTGTGTGTGTGTGTGTGTGTGTGT